CTTTATATATAGATATCACTAAAATTATATATATATATATATATATATATATATATATATATATATATATATATCATATGGTGGTTGTTTGCCTGCTTAATTCAATTGATATTAATTTTGTCTAATAAAAGTTATTACTCTCTCAGATCTTCTGTGTAAGAAACAATTAATTCATGAAAATCAATAAATTTTGAATCTTTTTAATTAATGGTTTAAATAGTAGTTATATTTAATGATAGTGTACCTAATTTTGAGAATAATTTTTTTTCTCACCAATGAATGTAACTTATTATAAATAGACTAATAAATGTATCCATTTATGCAACAAAAAAATAGTAAAATTCTCATTAATAAATTTTACAATAAATTGAAAGATATAAAAGAAAATTAGTAATTAATATATTTTAAAGCAATTTTTTTCTCCATAAAATATAACAAAAAAATAATAGTACAATTTGTTTCTTATATAGTAAAAGACGAGAGGAAGTATTATGTTATATGTTCATGAGTAGTGTTACGTATTCTATATTTAGTAAATAATTGTAATTTATTCATCAAATTAAGGGTTCGATTAATATTAATCATTCATAATGGAAGACTTGTGTTGTTTGTATTTTATATAAATAATTGCTTAAGATTATAACAATTGATTCAAGCATAGGAGTGAAAGTAATATGATTTAATCTTTAGAGAACATTGTAACTGATAAAGAATTCATTGAAAATTTTTCTTTGTAATTTTGTTTTTTTTGTTAACAATAGAGATTATTTATAGTACTAATTATATATCTTTCATATATTTATATTTCTACGTCAAATATGTTTTTACCATAACTAATTGGTATAAGAGCTATGGTATCTACGAAACTTGACGTTGAGAAATTTATTAGCAAAAATAAAATCAATATATGGTAAGTAAAGATACTCGTTCTTCTTACACAACAAGAATGTGATGAGTTGGTGTTGGAAGAAGAAGCAAAGTTGCTAGTTGATCTCACACTTGTACAAAAGAATGTGATAATGAAAAAGGCACATAGCATAATATTGTTAACGTTGGGTGATGAAGTTTTGGGAGAAATCTCAAGAGAAAAGACTACTGACAAGCTTTGGACAAAACTTGAAAGTAGGTATATTACAAAGTCTCTCCATAATCGATTTTGCTTGAAGAAACTATTATATACCATGCAAATGCATGAAGAATATGACTCCATTCACAAACATATTGATAATTTTAACCAAGTTGTTCTTAGTTTAAAAAGTATTGACGTTGTGGTTGATGATGAAGACCAAGTTGTTCTTCTCTTTAATTCTTTGCCAAGAGCTTATGAAAATTTTGTAGACACAATAATTTTCGGTAGATGTTCACTATCAATGGAAAAAGTTAAAATATAGCTTTACAATCTTTGGAATTGAAAAGGTGTATGAATGATTCATATAGTGGGACCAACTCAGATGAAGGTTTGATGGTAAAAGGAAGAACAAATGAAGAAAAAAGTGTTTCCAAAAGAGGAAATCAAAATCACGCAACAAAAATAAAAACAATAACATATGTCATAACTGTCAAAGAGAAGGGCACTGGAAGAGAAATTGTTTAGAGTTCAAGAAAGATAGAGAAAGTACTTCATAGTATCATGGAGCATATGTGGCCTCAGAAGAATCAAATGGTGGAAATGTTCTCTTTAGTTTGTCTCATTTAATGTAAATGATAATGAATGGATTCTTGATTGGCCACATAACTTTCACATGACACCTAACAAAGATTGGTTTGTCACATATAAAGAGATTGGTGGTGGCAAAGTTCTAATGGGAAATGATGGTGCTTGTAGTATAGTTGGTAAAAGTATAGTGCAAATTAGGATGGTTGATGGTATTATGAGAACATTGACTGATGTGAGGTATGTTCTTGAACTCTGAAAGAATTTAATTTCTTTGAGCATGTTACAATCTCTTGGTTGTTCACATCGAGCTGAAGGAGGAGGCTTAAGGGTTTCTAGAGGTGTCATGATTGTTATGAAAGGAAAATTGAAAAATAGACTATACATCTTGCAAGGCATCACGCTGGTAGGTGTAGCCACGATTTCTTCTATTTCAGATCTTAACTAGACTTGTTTATGGCATATGAGGTTAGGCCATATGAGTGACAATACTGTGGAATGAATGAACTTAGTAAGAGAGGCTTGCTTGGGGAACAAAGAACTGGGAAGCTAGATTTAATTTTGTGAGCATTGTGCTTATGAAAAATAATGCAGAGTAAAATTTAGCACTAAAGTTCATAAAATGCGAGGGACAACTCTTGATTATATCCATTAAAACCTATGGGGTCTGTCAAGTGTTCCTTCTCATGGTGGAGCAAGGTACATGTTAACTTTCATTGATGGTTACTCACGAAAAGTTTGAATTTTTGTCTTGAAACAAAAAGAATGATATATTTCTCAAGTTCAAGCTATGGAAGTCTCAAATGAAGAAGTGATAAGTGTCAATTTTACTTATAGAATTTAACTATTTTGATAATTATTTAACTAGTTTTAAAAGAAATCTAATTTTAACCCCTAAAATATTGTAAGAATCAAAAGGATGTGTAAATAGGTTAGTTTGTGAAGATTTGATAGATTTTGGACTAATGAACTTTTATTTTTCATGCAGATTTGATTAAGTTCCAATGCCTTCAAAATTTACAAAATTGCTTAAGCAATTTGGATGTGCTCAATAGATAAGAGACAGAGAGCAAAGGAGTGCATTAGAAAAATCCACTTAACCATTTAAAAAGGGTTGAGTGGATTTGGCCCAAAGGAGGAAGAAAATTTCATTTCATTTTAGAAAAGGCTTAGTGAACTAAAAAAGGCTTAGTCGTGGATGAAGTTTTCTTCACCATGAAAATATCTAAAATTTGCTCAACTATTTGAAAAGGGTTGAGTAGATTGGTCACTTATAGCATACTCTGTTTTAATTTTTTGGACATATAAAAAGGATGAAGAGAGAGAAAAAGGAATGAATAGAACATAAACAAAGAGAGAACAAAGCTCTAAAGAAAGAGGAAAGCTTCAAGACAATTTGGGGACATGGATCTTGGTTCAATTTTTTCTTTTCTATGCTTTAATTGTAAACGTAGATTGCTCTCACCACCATGAGTAGCTAATTTTCTTCGCTATTGGAATTGAGTGTAATCTATGAAACTTTTCTGTAATCTTTTTATACACATGTGTATGTGTGTGTATGTGTGTCATGATATCATATTCATAATTGTCTTTATCACTATTAGAATTGTTGTCGTTGTCATCATCATTGATACTGTCATTATTATTATCATCATTACACCATCATTATTATCATTTTCACTATCATTACACTATTAATATTGTCACTATTATCATCACTACCACCACTCTCATCATCATTCATACTGTCATTATCATTATCATTATTACACCATCATCACACTATTAATATTGTCACTATTATCATCACTACCACAGTCACTATTGTTGCAACCATTTTTGGTGGTGATAATGGTGAAAATGCGGACGATAATGGTGGTGAGGACAATAGTTTCAATAGCAATAGTGGTATCAACAATGATAAAAGTAAATATGATAATAATGATATGTAATAACTTTTATTTGTAATCTTTTAATTTAAATAGTCCATTTCAATTCAAGAGTTGAAATTGATTATTCTCATTCTTACATAAAGATGACATTCTTATTATATAATTTATCTATCTATGTATCTATTTATCTATTTATCTATATTCTTATAATATTAACCACATTAATATGATTCTCGTGCACTTAATCTACAGTATCTATATTAATAATTTTGCTATCTGTTAAATAAAATCTCAGTCAGATAAAAGATATTTTGTTATTTTAAGTTCAGTGAGACATGTACCAATCGTCGACTTAGCATGCTTAGAGTTTTCTGCTTTTAAGAAACACAACGTATGATCGATAATCAAATCACAATCGTAGCCGAATTTTTTAAAATACGGCCATAGCCAGTGTTTACATCACATTTCTGTACCCTAAATATCGATCCAACTGTGATAATAATTTCATTTTCATGTGAAAGGATGTAAGATATGATTTTTTATTTTATTTTATGCTGAGGATGTAACATGATTTAAGGTAAATCCGACGCCTAGTAGCCATAAGGTCTTTTAGGTATGGAAAAGTCCAAGCTTACCATTTATTTGAAGAAATTAGCACCACAATATAAGGATTCTTCGACTCTTCTAAAGACCGAAAATGCATGATAGGGATCTTCATCGAATCAGTATGAAAAACTTAATAATTTAAATTCAACTAATTAAATTAGTTTAGTTTTTTTTTTTTGTGTGTGCAACTCGAATCAAATCAATTAAATTTAATATTAATTAGTTTAAATATCAAATTTATACATTTAAAATTTAAATCAATCCAAACCAAATCAACTAATTTATATATTATTATTTATTATTTTTATTTAGTTAACAATTAATACATATGTATTATTTTGATTATTTTCAAGATGTTTTTGTATTATTACAATGTATAGATTTTTTTATCTTTCTTTTCAAATTTTTAAAGAAAAAAAAAACCATATTACAACATATTAAGTATTATTTTTACATACTCTAGTACATTTAAAACTCTTAAATATATTAAAAAAATTAAGATAAATTATATTACAAATCTATCCATTTATTTAATTTTTGATAATATATCAATTTAGTTAATATTAAAATATTTATTTACTTTGAAAAAAAAATTAATTTAATTCTTAAAAAAATTCATGAATATTCGATAACTCAATCTGAACCAATCCAATCAAAATCAAATTGATTTGATTTGGATTAAGAAAAAAATTAAAAAAATCTAACTCTCTTTTAATAACAAAGTTATGGAAGATGAATAAGAGATTCGTAGAAAAAAAAATTTATTATTTCTTATAATTTTATTCTTTCCATCATTTTTTGCGTTACTTATATTTTATATAATTAAATTTTCTTCATCAAACTAAAACATTCTTCGCAACAAAATCTCTCTTATTCACTTTTTCTCTTTTGAATCAAACTCACCACATATATAACTTTATTAACTTAATTTTACCAATTAATTTTATTTTTATCACAACATGATGAAACAATCATCTTTTGATCTCCCACAAAATAATCAATTTTATCATTAAATATTTTTTATCTTTTTTTTATTTATAACTTTTCAGCCTTAAATGCTTCTAAAAGACACCAGAGAAAGTTGAGGACACACATCCAATACGATATATTTTAACATTAGAACCCATGAAAATATGTTGATTACACAAAACAGCCAAAAACCAATCATCCAAACCCTACCAACAAGAAACACCCCAACCAAAGGATCCATTTTCACATTTTAGAATATCCAAGGCTAGGAAAAGTCCCCCACATATGCATACATATGGTTAAGAAAGATTGGTCCCTTCTTTGTTGGCTAATGGCTGTTAGAATGGATTCATAATTCAAGATCATCAAGAAGTCCAAGCTCTTGGAAGATTTGATTGCACACAGGAAGAGGGTCCTTCACCAAGAAACCAAGAGGATTAGCATTGCGGATTGGGGACACAATTCCATTGTTCTTGGTGAGGCTGATCCTTGCTGCCTTTTCAACGTAAGAGGAGTTGTCAACTTCTCCACAGTCAGCCCTGCTGCTCTTCACAAGCTTAATCTGGCAAACCTCCTCTTGATGATCTCCATCCACTGCAATTTTATAGGAACCGCTCCCATCGGTCACAACCTCCTTGCTGAATATCACCTCCCCGCCTTCAATTTTCTTGCACTCCACGCGCACCGTTGCACCTTTCAAAAATTTCACATATCATCTTTCTAGTATTCATGCATTGGGATATATTTTTTAAGAGTACGTTGTGTTGTGTAATATTTTGTTGTTATAAATGTTAACAAGAAGTTATATGTAAGTGTGTGAATAGAAGATGTAGGTACCTGGCATGAACTCGCTGACCCTGGTCAGGAACTGAGTGCGGCATGTGTCACAGTAAACTTTGCCCTCGATGAAGAAGCGGTCCTGGGAATAAGCCAAACCAACAAAGGACAAGAAACAAAGGGCAATCACGATGGTAGACTTGGCCATTGTGATTGCGGTTTCGGAATCCTTTTGGATTGGTTTGGATGGAGATTCTTTTTCAGATCCGCTCTCATCGGTCACAACCTCCTTGCTGAATATCACCTCCCCGCCTTCAATTTTCTTGCACTCCACGCGCACCGTTGCACCTTTCAAAAATTTCACATATCATCTTTCTAGTATTCATGCATTGGGATATATTTTTTAAGAGTACGTTGTGTTGTGTAATATTTTGTTGTTATAAATGTTAACAAGAAGTTATATGTAAGTGTGTGAATAGAAGATGTAGGTACCTGGCATGAACTCGCTGACCCTGGTCAGGAACTGAGTGCGGCATGTGTCACAGTAAACTTTGCCCTCGATGAAGAAGCGGTCCTGGGAATAAGCCAAACCAACAAAGGACAAGAAACAAAGGGCAATCACGATGGTAGACTTGGCCATTGTGATTGCGGTTTCGGAATCCTTTTGGATTGGTTTGGATGGAGATTCTTTTTCAGATGAGGACTGTGTGCATTGTGCAACGGAGAAGAGGTTGCATTTTATAACATAACTTGTTCGCCTTATTTAGAAGTGTCTATTAATGTTGTGGTCATTATTTCTTTGTTTTTCTGGTGGTTTAAAATAATGCTTTGACCCGATCTTTATGTTTCACTCTCTCACCAAAATTACCTATTTTTATACCTTAATTCGTTAATATAGTGGAGCTTAATGTTTGAGGAATACCTTTCTCCATGCATGTCATCAATTCATCTGAATATGAAGGAAATATAATTTAGTCCTGTTAAATGGTAAAAGAAAAATGATAAAGTTTATGAAATAACTTTTTGGACGAAACTACACTAATGTGACGCGATGGAATTTTAGTGGAAAATAACTTTTATTTTAAGCCATCCATATATTGCCATGTTTAACTTAATGGTCAACAAATTAATTCATCTTTTTTCATGCTAATAAACAATTATGTTGGTAAAAGAAATAAATAAACACAAAATCGGGAATTAACTTGATAGTTTGTAAACTTGCACCCTTCACCAACGAGATGTAAGAGTTCATAAATAATTTTAATCCTTGAGTAGTTAGAAAATTCGATCCCTGATTTGTATATATGAAAAAATATTTTTAAGTTATTTAAGGCCTAGGACTCGCTTGTAGGACTGCTGAATACATTAATCACGCTATCATCTAGAAGGCTTATATCAAATTCATACAGCGTCCTACCAGAGAAAACATGTACATTTTAAATGCACCAAATAATTCATTACACACACCGAGTGCACTCTTCATCTTATGATCGAGTTTGAGTTTCTTGGATAGGGAAGCCAAGAATATAAAGACCTTTCAGAGGACCTCATATGCAAGGCCTACTGTAAGACTAGCATTGTTCAAGCATAATCAACTGAGACTTCCTCCCTTTAATTATACAAAGACTCGGGGGACATTGATGCTGTCAATACTGCTAGTGTGCAAATCACCCTAGTCGTAGGTGTTACTGGTGTAACCTCAACTAAAGGTGCTTATTCTCCGAGTCTAGTGTCGCAACTTAAATATGAAACAAAATTCTCCGAATTAAAAATGATAATGTGTAATAAAGAAAATGAGAATATATATATATATATATATTTATATCAAGGGACAAGATAAGTGTGACGTACGTAGTTGAAAAAAATAACCCTGATTATAAATAACTTTTGTTGTCTCATCATCGCACATAAATGAAAACTTTTCTCGATGCAAAAATGCAGAATAGGCTATCATAAAGAATGCCCTTTCACAAGGGGTTACAAAGGGTCCATAGGGCATCACAACACGAATTCTTGAGACGTTAGTACAATTCATTATTCTAACTTGGTATTATTTGGTTTACGAAATGACTATCTTTTCCTTGTTTTACGGTCTTACCTACAGTATTGTGAATTTATCCACAAAGATTGAACGTGACACTAAGCCCCCTTAAAAAAATAAAATAAAATTTGAAAATTAGCAGTTGTGGGGATAGTCTATTCAATCATAATCATATTGCAATAATATCATGGGCAGGGACGGAGCCAGGATTTCAATACTGGGGGGCCGAGAATAAATAATATATAATTTATAATAAATGAAAATTAAAATATATATGTATATATACTGGGGTGCCATATAGTAATATATATGTATATAAAAAAAAATTAAAATTGTTGGGGGGGCCGTGGCACCCGTAGGTCCTTGGCTCCGTCCTTGATCATGGGTAGGGTATATGGTAAAACTCTGGTCAAACACCAAGAAAAATATGGTCGTAAATTCCGGCTATAGCTGTTTCCGCGTCAAACGATATTTGGAAATCAGTCAATAATTCACACTTTTCTTTTGGAACAATGATTCGCACAATTTTAAATCAATATTATCTATGTAGACAGATAAAAGAATGCAAGGTAGCATCCTCTTAGAAAGATGTAAGTAGAAATGAAGCAATTCACTAAATTACAGCCAAACACCATGCAAATCTCAACTCCAATCTCCAGTAACAGAAAGCACACGCATAGAATAAAAGGCTCACAAAGCCCTATGGTAATTTTCTAGAGACCAACTCAATGTTCTATAACAACGTCCTAATGGTAAAACTATCGAGAGACTAGCCTTCTCGTATGTGCACATCACAAATTCCTAAGCCATTACCTATGCATCTTCATTCTTCACCTCCAGCAGCTCGGGCAGAATCCACCTTTTGTTCCTCTGCTGTTAAAAGAGGACGTATTTAATTAACCATGGAAATCAGAGATACTGGAATTGGGTTGGCAAAAACCCAGAACAAATAAAGAAAAATAGCTAGAAAATAAACTAAGGAATAGCCAAGTTTTAAAAAACAGCAACATAAGTAGACAGTAAATCAAAATCAATATGATAACCGATTGAAGGAATGCATTTTTAGAGTGAAAATGAAAAACTGAAAAACAAAGCAAAAGACAAGGGGAAACTTCACCTTATAAAACAGACACAGCAACCAAGTACATAATACTCGGTAAACTCACCTGACCCTAAAAATACTCTAAGCTACAAAGCAGAGGTAGGGCCTTCAAGCAATTGTAAGTCTGTAACAATGTCCAGTACTGGAATGTGTGCCAGATGGTAGGATATGCATGCTTTTACAATTTTTCTTTTGGAAACTATTTACTTATTTGATACCAGGCGGCCAAAATTTAAGTTGAGGGTTTCCAACCCAAAGATATGAGCAACAGTGAGAACTGAGAACACAGCAGCAACAGTCTTCAACACGCAAGAACCAATGTTTGATGATTTGAGTTTTGGCTAGCTGCCCTTTCATTTTCAATTATTTGGTATCCGCTGGGTTAAATTCATTGGATCAATCTTGGCTAGCCTGAGTGCTATTAATTTTTAAGTTCTGCTTAGTTCCAAATGTTTATATGATAATTTTATGATTAATGAAATGATATACAATTTTGCTACACAATTTTCTTCATATACCAATCTTCAGGGAAATGTTAAATCCCCGTGCCATACCAATTTTCATGCTTTCCAAATTCCACTTGGAGTAGAAACAAACTCTAACCAAATTTTTTATCTAAATATAAACAGTAAACAAAAGACAAATTCTATAAACTAAATTCTCACAGTGCACAGGTTTATGAAGGCCATCAATTTCTAAAACTTGGTCACATTTACCACTAAAATATCTCATTATGACATTAATATCTAATGATTTCAATAGATTATATTTTTTAGTCTTTGACCGTGTATCCCTCCTATACACAGCTTGTTAGACTATCCCTTGGACTAGGGGTTATAGTTAGGTAAAGCCCCCCGCCCCTCCCCACAGTGAGGGGTTGACAATTTGAACCCCATATACAAAGTTTCCTTGGGGTCGCAATCCATCTCCATTGCAACCAACCACTACTAGATAATAAGCTAAATGCCTAATGTCAATATGGATGGAGTTGGAGAAAAGGGCAAATAGCAAAACCTGAAGCAATGAGATTGGATCAGATGTATTTAAATTGGCTCTTGGTTGCAAGAATTTGGTTGATTAAGATCACACGAAAGATGAAGAAATTAAACATTTAGACAAACTATCTGATGAGATAAAATATTCTAACTTTCTTGCTTCCGTAAAGCAATTTAACAGCAATATCGAGCAGATTACCCAAATCCTCTAGTGTTTTTTCAACTTAAAGCAACACTCTTAGATACAGGCCTTTCTTCAATGTTTGGAATTTTGATCAATACAGGATTCTTCAACTATTTGCAACAGAGGAATGTTGACTTTTCATGACACAAATCAGATCTAGTTCTCTACAAGTTATTTCCATCACTTCCTTTGAATCTTGTTCAAAGGCACAACAAAGAATCTCTATCTAGTCAGCAGAACAATGCAATTGCATTAATAATAACACAGCCACAAAAGCCAGCCTGAAACTTTTATGACATAACTTTCTCACCAAATAGGCATAACATCAAACAAAAGTCAAAATAGCAACATACAAATATCATACCAAACATATTTCATTTACAATGCAGACAAAATCCAGCAAAAAAGAGTGACAGAGAACATTGATTTCCATTAATCAATACCTCCATCTTCAGGGATGTCAGAAGTCCACAAAGTGAGGTTGTCCCTCAGAAGCTGCATGATTAGTGTGCTGTCTTTGTAAGACTCCTCACTCAAAGTATCCAACTCAGAGATTGCTTCATCAAATGCCTGCTTAGCAAGGTGACACGCCCTGAGAAATGAAAAGCACCGTGTTAAATTTGTTATTGTTAAACCAACTTAGATACGGTACACAAAGAGATGGGTCATTAAACAATAGCACTGCACTGTCAGGAAAATAGAATAAAGTCATACGACTCATACCTTTCAGGAGAGTTTAAAATTTCATAATAGAAGACAGAGAAGTTCAAAGCCAGACCCAATCGGATGGGATGCGTGGGAGGTAACTCAGCCTCTGCAGTAGTGGAAGCCGCCTGCAACATTTATGAATTGTTCAGATTATCATTAACAGATGGAAAGATACTGAGTGACTAAACAGCCAACTTCATATCAGAGATGCCTTCATCTAAAAGAATGTCACAGTGCCACACACGCCAGTAAAGCTGATGGTAGGTATTCATAAGACAAATATAAGGTATAATGAATGTCATGCCTGAAGAATAAGTGCTACCCTCTGTATCCATGACATAAAGGTGACTACCCCACTCTTTATCTCACAAAACAAGCAAAATATAAACTCAAATACTCAGTAAATATTTTCCTCCCTAACAAGTACAGAACGTTAGTGATAAAGAACCATTAGAATCACTCCTTCAAAATTCATATCACCAGTTAAGAATTCTTTCTCAAACATCATCTACAGGTTGAGATAATAACAATAATAGATGATTGACTAGACAACCTTCACTGGTTCTTTTAGCACTTGCGTTTAAAGATTCATTTAGCAAAAAGAAATACCAATACATAAGCCTTGTGAATTAATAACAAAGGAGAGTGAAAACAGAAACATTTTCTCTTCTCTGGCACAGTCCACAGGAGATATCACAAATCACCACGCAACAAACACCAAGACCTTTTAAAATTCAAACCACAAGAGATGCAAGAGGTCAAAATACAAGCAGACCTGATACGCCTTCATGGAATGATCAGCAGCCTCTTTTCTCTCATCACCGGACTTGAACTCTGCGAGATACCGGTAATAGTCCCCCTTCCTGCAAACAACAAAGAACTACTCAACAGTTCAACACGCATGAAACTCTAAATTCTCATTGAGAATTTAGAGCAATGAACAATTCATGAAAAATGAGCCGTGAGTCAGTACTCACATTTTGTAGAAAAAGACACTAGGTTCACCAGCAGTGCTAGAGGGAATAAGGTGTTGATCAATAACAGTCATGATATCACTGCAGATATTGGTCAACTCAGACTCCACCTTCTGCCTATACTCCTTTATCCGCTTCACACTCACATCGTTCCCTTTAGACTCTTCCTTCTGCTCAATCGAGGAAAGAATCCTCCACGATGCCCTACGAGCACCCACCACGTTCTTGTACCCAACCGACAGAAGGTTCCGCTCCTCAACCGTCAATTCCACGTTTAGCCTCGCCACATTCTTCATTGCATCCACCATTTCTAACACGCCAAACACTCAAAATCTCACAATTCTTCTCCACAAAATTCCAATTCAAAACCACAACTAAAATTCAACCGCGTAAACCAGAATCACACACACACACACACAAAGAAAAAAAAAAGTGGTTTCCAAATTAAACACCCAGGTCAGCACAGTGGTGATGGTGACTCTCAAATTTCAATACGAAAAAACGGGAGGAAAAAAAATAAACAAAAATAAAAAGAAAAAAGCGTGAGAGTGACTAATTATACCTTCATAGCGTTCGGCTTGTTCGGCGAGCTTGGCGACGTAGACGAAGTTTTCGCGTTCCTTGGTGGAGGCCATGGAGGATCTGCTAGTTTCTCTCTCCTGGCACTTTCTCGCTCTAGAAATGGTTGTGTTTGGGTTGCGTTGTGGGTATTTGCAAGTTGAGAGAAGTGGTTTGTGGTGGTGGGCGAGTGAGGATCTCCACGCGCTATTTGGAGAGTGTTTCTCACGCGTTTGTCTTTTGGCGAGTCGAGGGTCACGGCAGAGCGGAGGCAAATTGATTGGCGTTTGGTGGCCATTGAATTGTCAAAATCACTGTTTTTGTCTTTTGAATTTGTTCACACTTCACTTGAAAACTTGCTTCCTTTGCTACCCCTCGGATATAATTTAAATTAATGAAACGGTCAAGATGAATTCCATTTGTTCAACTTGTACAATACAACCACTTGCACTACCTTCATAAACAATAATTGTTCGGCAATACTTCACTCATTGCAAGTTGTTTCCGATCTAAGTGTACAAAATGCGCTTGGTTGAACATAGCTTTTTGAACTTAAATTTAGTTAGAAGTAAGTTAGATTTATGTTTGAATACTTTTATTTTTAAATATTTTTATTAAAATTAAATTTATTTATATCAATTAAAAATACTTTTAAATGTATAATTACTCAAATGAGTATGAATTTTATAATGTGATATTAATATTATTTATTTCATTATTTCTATTATGTAATATTTGAAGTGATAATATGTTGTTATTACAATTTAAAAAAAACATGGAACTAAGATTATAAATTTAAATAAAATAAAAAAAAAGTTTACAAGTAATAAATATATAAATAAATTTATAATTTCCATGCTTGCTTAATAAGTTAAAATAACCATAACATCGATTGATTTAATAATAATAATAATAATAATATTTAATGAGTGTATTATTATTATTATTATTATTAAAAAATAAGTAGGTCAATTAAGAGAAGTCTAAAAGCTTGTAGTTGGTGTGAGTAATAAATAATGTCTATTATATACTATTATTAAAATTTAAAATGCTTGCAACCCGTTATGCTCAATAGAAAGACAAACAATAAGTAGCTTTAACTCATACTAACTTTTATGATATAAATAAATTTAATTCAGTGAGATATTCAGTTTTCAAACAATGAAGCATAATTTTCTATAAAAACATAGTGGATTACAATGCTTAAATGCAAAATTAAACACAACTTAATATCAGGATAGTAATGTGAGTTATATTTAGTGGATCAATCTATCTATTTCGATGAATCAAATTATTTATTTTTTATAGATTGGAATGAATAAATAAATTTACCAACTTATCAATTTTGGTAAATTCAATCGGTCAATTTGTCAATCCAGTTTTTTGTCTTATATTTTTAAAAAATAAATTTTTAATGAATTTATGTTAACTTAATGTTTTTATTTTATAGTTTAACTTTTCTTTTTAGGTAATTATTCTTAATTTATATAAAATAGAAATATATTATTTTTATCATATTTTTTTATTAGTACATTTTCATGTATAGTGTCTCTTTTTAATAGAAATATATATTATTTTATCTCTTTTCATGAAAAAATATAACACATGTAATCAATTTTACAAGTAATAGTAAAATTATTAGTTGAAGTGATAATGTATATTAAAATATTTTAATTAATTTTTTTAAAAAAATTATATATTATAAGTTGATCAACTTATCAACTCACCATTTTTAACTTACCAACTTATTAAAGTATGCAACATGAATTGCATTTTTTAAACTTATTTTCTTTAGTACTTATTCTTTTTATAGATCAACCGACTTCATCTCATTTTAAGAAGATTAGTCCATTTTGTTACTCCTCCCTGTAAGGTCAGGATTTGAGGTTTTCTTAATAAGTTTATTTGAGTAAAATATATCTTAATTATATACTATTAAAAGTTGACCTCATTTCTAATAATGATTGTTAACGAAAATTCTTAAATATAAAATTGATTTTTACAAATTTTACCATTGAAGGAAGATAATATATAAATATCATGTATGAAATCATTTTTATATAAAATATTCCAAAAACTAATTTTAAGAATTTATTTTTATTATTCTCACTTAATTGTGAAATAGGTAAAAATCAATGACTACGATAATATTTGAGTTTCGCTTTAGAATGAGTTATTCCTTTTTAATGTAAATTTAGTTTTTTTTTATTAGTTACGGTAAATTTATTTGTTAATAAGAAAAATCAATAATTGATATTACATACACATACATTCATACATAACAAATTGTGAGTATTGAAATATTTCTTATTCTTCTTTTCATTTTTCATTTAAACTTTGTAAATACTTTTTTTAAGATAGATATTAAGAAATACTTTTTTTTAAAGATAGATATATAGTTAATCTTATTTTTATGAAAATTATTTCAAACATTTTAGCATATTATTTAACTTTCTTGTGTAAATTATTTTTTTTAGAAGAATATGATTGAAAAAATAGTAATTAATGTCATCTAAAATTTTTAAAATATATATTTAAAAAACAATTTAATAGTTATACATTAACATTGTAATGTAGTTATACATTCATCTAATCACATTCCACCATAAATGTTAAGTTTAGTAACTTGTACAATAATTACTTTAAAGGTCATATAAATTATGATTTCAAATTAGTTGATTGTGTAACTAAAAGTACATGATCATTAAACTCTTTAAGAAAAACAAAACATATAAAAGAAACAAAAAAAATACTAATTAAAGACCACAATGATCATATACTCATTTAACATCAATGGTATGAACAAGTTAAGTACATATATTTACTTTGGGTGAATGAATTCCCATGCACAAGGATGGTTTTGGAATGATTGCCTTGTGGACTTCGATAATTAAAAACTTAGGTAAGTGTACATTTATGAACTTTTCCAGTTAACAAAGGCATAATTTTTCTTGAATGCAATAGAATTTTTGGGATTGTGTGGACTTTGTTGGTAGCATTGTCATGCTGCTACCTAGGTAAGGTTCGAACTAGCAAACAACAGGCCAGGCAACATGTACATAAAACCGCTGCTGAAAACAAAATGAATAATGTTAGATGCCATCCAGATTCCAGACTAGAAAAGCATTTTCATGAATGATACGGGTTAATTTTAACCATTCTGATTTATATTATTAATTTATTATCATTTTCCACGTAGAAACACGTCTCTAATTGAAAGTGATTATCAATATAACCAAGCACGCACCAGACTGAAGAGACTACAGATTCAATTACTTCCATGAAGCCATCTGATCAAACAAAAAAGCATCCATTTTTATCTTCCTTTTGCCTCGAACAATGTGTTCTGAAAGTTGCGACTGTAAAACAAAACTAGGTGTTAATTTCTGGCAAGTACACTACCAAATTAGAAGATATACCACGTAATCCTGCTCGTATAGGTCAGTTTAAGTTTCAAACATCACATCCTACACGTGTACTCGGGAATCGTACCTTGATACTCGGTATGTATAAATAACAAAAAGCCGCATGTCTTGTATTAGATCTAACACCAGAATAAGAGGCAAATTTGTACATTTTCCCCGTCTTTTCTCAGTTTTTGTTCAAAGGATGGCACAGAGGAGACAAGAGATTTTAAAGGAAGGAAAAGAAGAAGATGGGAGAGACACCTTATTTGATTCATGAGAAAATGGTAGGAAGACTTAATTGTACTTTTAACTCCCATAATTTAGCCTATTATAACCTTGGTTCTAATTGTTCTCATTTAGTCCTAATAGTTTCATAATTAAAATTAAAAGTTCTTATGCTAATCATGATACACAAACCATATTCTTTGCATTGGAATAATAAGGCATATTTCTACCAAGTTACATGCTAATCACCGGTAAGTAAGAACTACTGTATGCTAAATTATAAATGACTACTATAATAAAAGAATAGTTTTTCATCTTGTATTGAGCAGTTAGACATGTCCCAGGCAAAGTGAAATTACATACACTAGTTACAAGCTAGCAGAAAAAACTGATGATGCTTCTTGGTGTCTTAAGCTGTCAGCCACATGAGCAATTACTCCTACACCAGCATTGTGAAGCCATTCATTTTTCACCTGAAATCAGACAAGCATTCGTATTAAAACTCTATCAGTGATACCATCATCATCCAACAGTTTAAATGGCTAGTACATGAATGTTGTTATGTGCGAAGAATGGCCAAAATGCTGAATGAAAGCTGACATCAACTTTTTTCCATCCCAACTGCTGTAATCCCCGAATGATTTCATCTGTTACAAAGATTAGCTGTTTTAGTGGAACATCAGGAACTACACAGATAATTGATATATGTTCAGTTACTCTGGGTTATAATAATCACCTTCTATAATTTCATGATATTCCACAGTATTATGGGAATTGGGCGCATTTTGTGCTGCTTCCTTTGCTTTCACTGCTTTTGGAGGAAATTGAGGACCATCAGACGGAACTGGGGGACAATATTCCACATCAACCACGTGCTTGTATCCATCTAAAGATTGTCGAGGAGGCTGCCAATACAATGGAAAAAATGTTAGTTCCATGGAAACATATTCACATTCATAACTTTCACAATTCAAGTGTTTCCCTTTTCCTAACTCCTAGTTTTCGAAACAGAACCTGCACCATAAAATAAGGAAGGCAGCATTTTCCCCTTCACCCAACATTTAATACTTTCTTTTCCACATTTTAAACACGGAACCTCACACTAACCAACTGGGATGGCAGAAATACCACCACTCGCTACATTTTAGTTGCAGTATCAATCAATTTGATCCAACAATTTTATTTTATTTTATTCGTTTCCAAGGGATTTAAATATAGACATTCAAGAACATCAGTATTGCATAGATTTACAGTTACAGATACAACTAAGAACCACTGCCACGTCTATTTCTTGGATACAGGCTTCCATCTTTTGCTGACGGGCTGTAACTCTGCTGTGATTGGAACTTCCAGTTGGAATTCCTAATTAAGTAATAATGAAGGGACAGTAGATATTAGGCCACTAATGAACCGAGTTAACATTTGCCAATCAACGGTCAAACTAGTCAAGTTCTTCAAGTGAAGTAAAGCAGTACACATTTTAATGGGAAACTTAATACTCTCGTTCTGTCTAATTTTACTACTACAGTTCTGTCTAATTTTTATGTTTCATTGAGATTATTAGTATTTTAACTTGCGCACAAGATAAATACTCATTTTATATAACTAAAATTATAATAAATTAATATTTTTGAATATATAAATTATATTATAATTAAAATTTGAAATAAATAAATATTTTTACATATAAATAATATTTAGATTTATAATATTGTGATTTAAAAATATTTTTAATCATTGATAACTTTTTTAGAAAAATATATTAAAATTAAATTTAGAAATAAAAATGAATATGATAAACTAAAAGAAATAAGAAGTTAAAAAAATCCTTAAAAACACTCTCCTGATAAAACTCCCTAAAAATGCTCTCTTTATGTTAATTTATATAGAGTGAGGATCAAAATTTTCTCATTTATCGAAATCAATATCTTTGTAGCATTTGTGTTAGTTATTATACTAGAACCACAATTCTCACTTTTGACTACAATTTTTGCCTTACCAAAATCGTAACTACAAAAATAATTGTCATTGTATTTGTCACTATTCCTTAAAATGAAACTAACAATACATGTTTGATAATACTTCGTACCTATAGAGTTATCCTATTAGCAATTGTAAAATTTAAATTACAACTTACCATTTTAATGATAAATCTAAGCCTTAAGACAAGTGAACAGATTACAAATGCAAGACATAAAGTCATAAACACGGTTAGGATGTTAAGTATAATTCTAAGCATCCTACAAGATTTTAATGTAGTTGTAATCTAAGTATTAATTATAAACAATATTGGAAACCAGTAACCAACAAAAAATAAGACAGACAATCCTAAAGGAAAAATAATCATATTCACCTTACTGAGCTCAGTTTCCCTCCTTATAGAGGATGTGCGCCACCCAACCATATCTATATAAAGTTAAAGAAATTACCAAAATTGAGGACAAAAGAAACAAAAGTTTATTATTGATATGCTTAGCAAGTTTAAGCAGAAAAACATGCTGAGAGGATACGATCATATGAAACATTAGCATAAATCATGCGACATCTAAATGCTCCAAGTGCAGATCTACAGAAATATTAAATCTTGTAAGTACTAGATTACTTAATTGAAAAAGAGTAATACAAACTAGTACAAATAGATTCCTTTACTCACAGAAACTTTCCATCTTCACAATCAGAAGCCATTCTCAATAAAAGAGGTGGTTTGTCAGGTTTACCATCAGTGAGGAACAACTGACTACCTGTCTGGCCAACAAAAAAAGGAGCTATAGGTGCAGCAAGCTTTTCTAGGATTGAGACACCCAACAAAAATGGAAGCTGAAAAATATGCACAGTAAACAGTCAAAACACTTATGGCCTACAAAGTTTCAGTTCAAATTGAGAAACATGAAGAGCATGGGCAAGACCTATAAACGAAAGGCCGGCAGAAGGATGGTTTGGATGTTCATTTCATTCATAGTTTCCATCTGACTTAAAAGTCCGGGCATTATTTTCTAATCACCTTTCTCATGATTGTAATGTAAAATTTCTCAATTAAAATTAAAATTTTGTCAGGGTTTGTTTGAGGATAATGCAAATCCTATTCTAGTATTTTTTCCATTAGAACAGACCTGATTCTTTCCTCTTACGCCAAGATGTGGAGTTGCTAGAGTTATAAAATTGATTGGCTCCAACCCAGCGATCATCCCTCCTCTGGAAAAGCTTGTTCCCAGGGAATTTTCTGTCATGCTGATTGCTAGATCACTTGTTTGGTCCCTACTATAGGCATCAGGTGAATAGAGGACAGCAATTGCATATCTAGCAAACAAGCCTCCCAAAGAGTGGGATAGAAAGGAGATTTTTTTCAGGCTACGTGTCTTTTTAACAACTTGCAAGACCTGTTTATCAGAGAGGCAATAAATCATTCAACATGAAACAATTCAGATACATAAATTTGGGTGTTCAAACTTCAGATACATAAATTTGCATATCTTGGGACTCACTTCATCAGCTAATCGTTTTCCAGCTCCATCAATCCCAGTAAATGTCTTCGTGTAAGTATTTGATGAACTTACTGCAAACAACACATAGTTGTTAAGTACTTCTAGACAAATAACTTTACATTCATGGATGGGGCACTCATGCAATACCCAAAGAAAACCTTCACAACTTAAGAAAACATTATTAAACGGCTTAAGCTTACTACTTTCCAAATTATACAAATAAACTTTTTCCTGCATTGACTAGAAAGAAGGGAAAAAGAGCAGTTCAGCACAAGAGTGAGAGTTTAATTTTGCAAGTTTACTCAAACCTATAAAGCAGATCATGTTTGACTTGGCTAAGGTATCTCGGTCAGTTGCCTCCAACACAGATCATTAAAAAAAAATCACAATTGTTCTCATGCTTATCGTTAACCCACTCAAATGTAAGGGTGGATACACCCTTGTACACTTTACAAACAAGCTCAATTTATAGGAGTAAAGGAGCATTATGCAGTATAACAAAGAGAACCACAAGTTAAAAATATATACTAACCATATATTAAAAAGTTTTTTCCAAGGCGCCTTTTCAACTCTGCTTCTGCATAAGTCCAGTCCGCTGTGCTGTATCAATAAAAACATCAGTACAACTTGGTATGATACTAAACTAAAGAAAAAAATCCTAATGATCAACATAAAGAAATGGATGTATGATAAACACCCATCGTTCCAAATTTTGCAGAGAAAACAACCGGTAAAAGGTTACTTTCTCACATTCATAGGCTAAATTGTGACATTATAAATTGAATCAGATTTATAATTGACAGGCAAACTGATAAGATACCAATTAATCATAAACAGGATGAAAACCATAAACCTTTCCAACTGAACATCAATATATCACTTAACTGTAAAAGCATTATGCATATTAACTTCACTTTTTACCCACTGCTCAAAACGAGCTTCACTCAAATTTTAACACAATAATTTGAACGAATTTTTTTTCTCTCAAAATAAATATATTATATACCTAGCCAAGATACCATGAACAAGAACAAGGAGATGATCAGGGTCACTCTTCAAATTCCCTATGGTGGCAATAGACTTTCCGTGGGTGACAGTACTCATAGCTTGTGATCTCTGGCCCTGGTGTCTCTGACCACTGCTTGTACCTGCAAAAGTTCATCTACCAGCTTTTATGAAAAATAAAAGTTATGCATGTAGTATTAATATAGTTGTTAGAAAATTGGGGTTATTAGTCTCGGTGTTTCTAAGCTTAGACTAGTACTAGTACTTTCCCCAATCATTAGTAGGCTTATATGGGTTAGGTTGTGGTACTTTATCACATCTATCAAACTTATATACAGTAAACAAAAATACAAAACCATCTTTCTCTCTTTTCTCTCCTCCCTACCTAAAACCTATTATTCCAACAATGCTCTTTTACCTAGAAAAGTACAAAATGAAAATAGATAAAAGAGTGACAAAGAGGACGGAGAAAGCAAATCAAGGCCATAATTATAAAAAATGTTGCCCGATGCACAAGGTTTCCACTGCTACGGGGCCTTGGAGCAGCATATGTATGACCTTGTTGATGAAAAGATTATCCAAACCTATAGTTTTAATGGGCATCAAACAAGGCAATATGATGAATAAGAATATTATGCGTTAATGTGTTCTCTCTAAGTATACAGGGATCAAAAATTGACTATTTGTGATTGAAAGGTATATGGAATCATGGATGCAGAAAAAATTCAACAAGCAATGAATGCTGATCCTCACTTAAGTAAAATTATCACTTCATTACTGGAAAAACCAGATGAGAAAGCACTGTATTCTATAGATCAGGAACATCTCTTCTATAAGGGCAGTTTGTTATACCAGATTACCAGCTACTCAGAATGGATACCAGTTTTGCTATCTGAATTTCATTCAACCCTCAGGGGCTTATAGGACCTATAGGCATTTGGAAGCAAACCTATTCTGGTCAAGGATGTCGGCAATAGTAACTAAATTTGTAGTGGAATGCCCTAATCAAACTGCATCTCCAGCAGTTTACTCCAAACTTTACGTCTTTACCTACACCAAAGGCTATATGGGAGGACACAGGATGGGTTTTATCACAAGATGACCTCAATCTTAGGGTATGATACAATCCTGGCTTCCTGGTTATTTTGGAATGGTTGTCCTAGTGTTGTCACTTCATTTTATTGAAACATCCCTATTCAGCTCAAACAGTGGCCGAGTTGTTTGCTAAGAGATCCAGATCCAACCTTTATAAGCAAGTTCTGATCTATTTATTTTGCCTAAATGGTACTGCTCGTTGAATGATCACAGCATATCATCCTATAACAGACATGGGCAGCACTAAATAAGGTGCTAGAGACTGACTGACGCTATTTTGCTTGTGAGTAGCCTAAGAAGTGCGCAAATTGATTGCATTGGTCTGAGTACTGGTAAAATATTAATATCAACTTTGGTCTATGGCAGAAAACCGCCTACACTACTGCACTTTGTACCTGGGAAATGTTTGGTTGAATCTGTAGCCAATGATCTTCAAGACAGAAAGATGAGGGTCCATCTTCAGCAGCTCAAACACAATTTACAAAGGCCTCAGAACTGAATGTGTATGGCTGCTAATAAACATTAGTGAGACATCAGTTTTGCGGAGGGAGATTAGGTGTATCTCAAACTAAGCCCCCGTAGACAGTATTTAGTATCCACAAGAAAGTGCTTCTGCTAGGTATTATGGACCTTTTCAGACTAAAAACAAGGTTAGTTCAGTAGCCCACGAGTTGCAATTGCCTGAAGGATCCCCCTGTGCATCCTATTTTCCATGTTTTGTAGATCAAAAGGGCTGTTGGGGTTCAGGTGACTATTTCCCACTTGCTGTTTAATTTGGAATTACAAGGTCACCATCGTGTACTAGAATTCCTTTGTTCCCGCACCAATACTAACGGAATTCGATAGATTCCCAATGTTTTGATAGCAACCACTACAGAGGCAATGAGAGAGGCTTCCTCAGTCATCCAAAGGCAATTCCTTTACTTCGGCATTGGGGATAAGGCTGTTCAGTGGCAAGTGAGTATTGATGAGAATATTTAGGGGAATGATAATGAGCTTAGTTTATGATAGAGGCCCAAGACCACTGAAAGTGTATGTTCTGACTTCTGAGGGGGCGGAGAAATAATGGAAAGAAAAGAGTTGGTCATGTCACGTAGGATTGGATTGTTAGGAGTAGAGGGGATTTAAGGAGTCCTGCTAGGGGGAGTGTGGGTATCGTGAAGTCACCTTTTTTCTCTCAGTTTCTCATTCCATTTTTCTCTGGATTTCCACTCTTAATCCCACTGAAGGCTCACCCTTGAGGACAATTTTCCGTCATCATATTTTGGCAATGGACATAAGCATGCATGTGATCATCTTATTCTTTGTAATGTAAAATGTAGGCACATGATCATATCTAGTGTAAACTTAACAAAAAAATGGAATTCAATATTTTATATCATAGATACATACATTAAAGAGTGCTTTGCTTTTATATGGGGCTTAACTTTACACTTCCATGGGAACACAAATGATTTCATATTGGCTAATGTTAGGCAACCAAACCTGCATTTGCCTTAATTGAGGACAATCATGGCCCATTGCCCATAAAAAAATAATAAAACATTTAGAGCCAATATCAAGTGATACATCAACAAACTATTAACATCAAAGTTATTATTGAATTCTGGTTAACTGCCTTCTGTTGCATTTATCTATTATAGGATAACAATTCAAAAACTGAACAGCCCAAAGTATCCCATTTCAGCATATAGTAGTAACAATGGAAATTGGAAGAAGAGAGATAAGTAATTGACATTATTGATAATGTGATGTGATAGAAGAGACAGATAGAGATACGTGGGAAGTATCAATTACGTGTCGAAAAATGAGCAAAGAGTCCTATTTATCTATAGCACAAAAGTTTGTAAAAGTAGATTAACATTGAAAACTTGGAAAGAAGTAGTGCAACGTCAAAACTACCAACTACTAGCTAGTTACCAACATACAGAAAGAGCAAATAAATAAATTGGTTTTGGAGTAGCAGAATATGACCAATGGTATAAACCTGACTCACTAAAGGGTCTTTACTCGAGCATATTCCAACGAACCCCGAGGGGTGGGCCCCATTGTTCTCCCACGTGTAGACGAAGCCCTCGTGTGACAGAAGAACAGAAGACAAATTGAAAATGATGAACGGTGGATAATGGTTAAATTAATTGGTGTAAGACAGAAAACGCTCTTAATTACGATAAATTTATGTGGGATAGCTAAGAAAAGTGCAATGAAATGAATAATCAATAAATGAAGCCTAAAAAGAAAAAAATTGAAGGTTGGGGAATTAAAATCACCAGAAGAGAGAGAGTTGGAAGCGTGAGAAGAGGAAGGTATTGAGGGTGGTTGGGAAGCGGGTTTGTTGTTGTTGCGATTGGAAATTCTGGGCGAGTAAGCACAGCGCGCGTGAATGAAGGGAGCCGATGCCATGTGGTTCTTATGGATTGATCATTGATGTGAATGTTAGTATCTTTTGGATCAAATCACGATGCTGCCCATGCCTTTCGCACTCTGCAATGCACTTTCCGTTTCAGGGCGGTGGAAACGAAACCAACAGACCAATGGCGAATTGCTCTGATGATTCATATAAACGACAAAAGCACGTAAGCAACGCAGACAGCGTGGCGTCACGCCACACTCACCCTCACCCTCACCCTCACCCAACCAACCAAAACATACTAATCAAAAATATTTTACTATTCGTTGCAAAAAAATATAGTTCTATTTTTAAATATATTAATTGGAATTTCTTCTTTATTCTTTATTTATTACGAGTCTATGATGAGATATTTATTCATCTTTTATAAAAGTAAATGTATTTGTTAGATAATTAAATTATTTAAATCGTAATATTCAACTCGCATAAACAATCCATAATCAGTTAATTGACAGGTTAGATTCAATGGCGGATGTACATGTATTTGTATTGTATGTGGCAATTGTCCCCACAAGTTTCTTTCCTTTGTACTTAATTATGTTCAATAAATAAAAAATTGTCCCTATAAAAAAATAGGTGATACCTCTATCAAATAATCTTTTAAATAAAGGGAAAAAAATATGTTTAAAAAGACAGAAAAAAATTGGTTATATATATAGAGAGAGATGTGCTTTTTTGTTGTGTATTTTGTAATATTTCTATTTTGTGAAAATATTAAAAACTATTTTTTTGTCCCACTAAATACAATTTTTAAATCCATTGATTAGATTGGTCATTAAATTGACCTGTTAAGTTAATCCATTGATTGTACGTATATTTTTTCTTGACTTTTACACTTATGATAATTTATTTGTAGATCATTTATTCATTAAGATTTATTTATAATTGTATTGTATACCACTTTTATTTTTATTAATAAACTTACTTATTATTGTATTGTTAACAAAATTTAATATTTTTTTCTTTTTAAATTATATTTAATCATAAAATTTAAAGATTTTTTTGGGTAAACGAATGATAACAAGGCAAAGAAAATAAAAGCTAATTAAATGAAAGTTACAAATGAGCAAATCTAGTGCCGATTGCATGCTCGTGGAGTGGAAGGAGTTTCCAAAATCTGAAGTGATTTTCTGACCCATCTTGGCAAGCGTGTCTGCTCATGATCTTATTATTAAAGAAAGAAACAAAATAAAAATAATGTAAATTTTATATTATTAATTAAAAAAAACTAAATTAAAAAGCAAATGTACACAGTACTCAATTATTACAGCAGAGTGGAATATTTATTCTGATATTATTATACCAGTACATAAGTAGGCCAGAATTTAAAGAGAGATAGATTAAAGTGAAAGAGTTAATGGCATGCATGGATGGTTCACATTATAGAACAAGCATGAGGGTTGTCATCACTGAACATGGACATGGCCTTGTCATCAATCACTGTTGCAGCAATTGGCTTTTGGTAATAGCCAAAATCGTCACCATAACTATATCCATGCTTGTAATAATTGTAAGAAGAGGAGGGTTTGGAATAGTTGTTCCCGTAATAGCGAGCAAAGGCATGGTGTTCTGGATTGTATGGATATGGCCAAAATTCTGCCCTCCTACCAGTTTTCCTCACTGTTTTCAATACCTTCTTTTGCTCTGCCCAACCCATCACAGTTACCTTTTGCATCCTCATGTCTATATCAACATCATCAACTCCTGATATATATATGCAATTTAATTAATAGGTAAGGAGATCCATGTTGGCACAATGTAAGTATTAATTACATGTATTATATATGACACTCAATAGTAGGTATATATGATAAATGTATTTCTTTTTTATAACCATATGATATGTCATAAATGTATTTGATTTTATAGTTATTATATGCTATTCGTCCACCCTAAAATGGGATAGATCGAGGGTGAAAATAAGAGAGAGGGGAAGAAAAGAGAAAAGGATAGAAAGAAAAAGTGATAAATGTGATAGAATGATAAAATGCAAAATGAAGAGAAAATATGGTGGAAGCGAGCGAAGGAAGAGAAAATAGATGGATGATAAGTGTTTTTATTGATGTTTTCGACTTCTTTTCAACAATAAGTTACATATTCTTTATCCATATTTAATTTAAGTTTCATATATAATGTCATACAATATTATAATCTTCCATAATGTCATAAAAAAAATATTTGTAAAACTTATATATCATCTTTGTTCTAAACTGTTTTAGCACAATTATTAAAGAGAAAAAGGTTATGCACCAGTCATTTAATGATAAATTATTATGAACCTTAAATTTGTTGAGTTTTATAATAATCATCTTAAAAATCATACAAATATTTATTTACGATTGACAGTATAAATTTTTTACTAAAAATCATTAAAGTCACTATTAAACATTAACTACTTATATAACGCTATTAAATCAATAAGTTAAATATTGATACACCATTAATATAAAAGATTTTATATAGTCAATCAATCAAAAATTATCATTAATTTGCATGATTTTTAAGATAATTATTTATAAAAATTAATAAATTTATTATTTATGATGGATTGTGACCGTATAATTATGTAACACTATTTTAAATTATTAGTGTATCATTATTAAACTCTAAATCAATTACAACATCATTAAGTCTTTATTTACCACGTAATTTTTTAAGAGCTTTCTTTATCTTGGTCTCGCAACCTGGACAGTCCATGTGCACACACATCTCAACTATCTGGAAAAGCAGAAGGAAGAAAAGTTAAATATAAAATACCAATATATGATTAACACAAGGTCAACTGTAATATATACATGTGTATGCATGCACGTAATGCAATGTAGGTCAACTATCTAGCACAACTGATTTTATTCACGATTTTAATTTAGTTTATTATTTTTAGTTCATATATAATCATTACAATTAAATTTTAAGCATATATTTTAATTAAAAAGTACTTTAAAAAAATGGTAACATAGTTAGGTCCCCCTATAATCAAGGAAGATATAGAACCAAATTATACCTTGGAAACAAAATAAAGGAAATTGTCTTAATGTGCATGATGATGCAAAAGATAATAAGAAGTTCAAGGACAGAGTAGATAGACATAATTCAAGAGCAGTTGCAAAGTAAAAATATAGTGTTTCTAACCGTCATTTCTTCCTAAATATTGCAATGAGCTTCTAGCTAAGGATGAAGGAGAGAAAGATTATATATATGTCCTATTTTTTGGGTGGCAAGACTAGAGACATTGATGAACCTTTTATATTGTGTTCATCATGGGAACCGGCGAGAGCATTAAGAAATGCAGCATAGTTAAGTAAGATTATAAAACTTATTTTACGCGTAGTGTCCAAGGGTTTTTTCTTTCTCTTTTCATTATTTGCTTCTCATAAACAAAAACATGGAAGTGTAGACAAATAGGAAATTGCATAGCAAATGCTTAGAAATTGGGAGAAGCTAGCCTTTGGATTTGAGAGTAACAGACCTTTTATACGGCATGTAGGATGATTGTAGAGGGACACTATTGACGGAAAAATATATGTCACTAGTTACCAAAAATAAAAAAGACATATATGTTACTATCACTTTATTTTCGCATACTACGTCAATGTTATGATTGGATGAATATAACATATTAAAATACAATTTTATTGAATACAATTTTGACTATTTTGCAACTTCAAAATGGCACGGCGTATTTTTTTTTTTTTTTTTTGGAGTTTCGTCGTGGGTGTTATTCTTAAGTGAGAAGCTCCAAAATTGAAGTTTAGAAGGTAATTATTAATAAATAAATCGAAGGGTGTTTCCGTGTTGGCGACTTCCTTGCACATATTATGAGAAGAAATTTGCTGCGAAGATATGATGTGTTGAAACTATATGTGAAAACACTATTTGAAATAGCTGACAAAGTCTCTTCTACTATAAATAATTGTTTGAGAAATTTTAATTTTCAATGAGTATGAGTATGTTTGGATATATACGAAAAATAAAAGGAGTGACTTTATTTTTATTTCAGGATGTAATTAGGGAATATACGAAAAATCAATTTTGGAAGGAAAGAAGAAATTCGAAAGAGAGAGAGAGAGAGAGAGAGAGAGAGTATTTTTAAAGGAAAAAGTCCGGGGTTTTTTTTTTTTTTTTTTTTTTGGAGTTTCGTCGTGGGTGTTATTCTTAAGTGAGAAGCTCCAAAATTGAAGTTTAGAAGGTAATTATTAATAAATAAATCGAAGGGTGTTTCCGTGTTGGCGACTTCCTTGCACATATTATGAGAAGAAATTTGCTGCGAAGATATGATGTGTTGAAACTATATGTGAAAACACTATTTGAAATAGCTGACAAAGTCTCTTCTACTATAAATAATTGTTTGAGAAATTTTAATTTTCAATGAGTATGAGTATGTTTGGATATATACGAAAAATAAAAGGAGTGACTTTATTTTTATTTCAGGATGTAATTAGGGAATATACGAAAAATCAATTTTGGAAGGAAAGAAGAAATTCGAAAGAGAGAGAGAGAGAGAGAGAGAGAGAGTATTTTTAAAGGAAAAAGTTTATGAAAATTTTGTTTTTCAAAGAAAATGTGAGGATTTATGAAATTCTAAATTTAGAATTAGAGTATATAATTTATAAAAGTTTAATTGAGAATTTATAAGGGAGGTCCTTGCTCATATGCTTTAACGAGTGAGAATTACTATTCCCCTAACTATTTCGATTATTTCCCAAATTTATTTATTCAACATTAAATGTAATGAAATATTTGGTAATATAATTCACCAAATAAACTAATTTCAAAATTTCAAAATATAGCATGTGTATAGATCCATACAGATCTTTTTATATCATGTATATAGATCTTTTCATATACGTGATAAGTGATTTTTTTTTTGTATACCAACGTGATAAGTGATGTTATTTTTTTCATTTTCCCCCAAAATTATTAAATTAAAATGGCTCTAAATCACTCTACTTAAAAATATTAAATAAATTTCATTTATTTAATACCTGTTATGCTTTAAATTTAGCACAAAAAATTATACTTCTTATTTTTCTTTATTTTATCTTTTCGTTAACATTATTGCCAAATTAGTCGTACAAAGATAAAATGTAATGGTTATAAAATTATTGAATTGATAAAAGCATAATTATTAAAATGGATTGGCAAATGGAGTTTGTTATTCTTACATCCCAATTTATGTTTTTAGTCCAACTTTTTTATTTTTTTTGGTTAAAAAAATTACCGTTGACAGAAACAAGTTTTCTATAAAATATTTTGAATAAATTATGTTATCATTGCTTGAGAAATAAGAGTTTACACCATCTTTCCTCTTGTATTAACATATAAATTACGACATAAATCGTTAAAAGTGTACATATTTATATTCTTTGAAGGAAAAAAAAAAATGTGTACTTTAACACAAGGTAGGTGGTGTAATATTTGTACCTTTTTGTAGGGATGTTAGCATAATTGATAGTACTTTAGTAATAAGATTTTCTTATAATAAAATTTAACGAACTTTAATGGAAAAAAAATCATAAGTAAAATATCATATATTATAATCTTTCAATCTGTTAAAGAGGAGATTGTATTTTTTTTTTAATATAAGAAAAGAGAAAAATGTAATATTCGATTCATATTTTTTAAAAGGAAAATGTAATTTACTTGAATATAAAACACAATAGAAACAAAGAAACAAACAAAAAACTGAAGAGAACTAAAAGATAGAAAAGGAGTGCAATATAAACGTTCGAGGTTGCATATAACTTCACCTAACGAGAGGCAAAAATGCTAAAACCAGACTACAACCAACAAACAATGAGAGAATTTTTCATCATCTAATATCATATATATTCAACTTTTTAAATAACTTTTTCACAATTAAGTTACTTTGATTCGTCACACGTCACACTTTGGTACAGAAAACCATTAAAATTCATAACATTTTTCTTCATATCGTGATAATTTGCCAGTCACTATATTAGCCAAACTGCAGGTCAATAACAAAAACTAATAAAAGAGAGCAAATTCTAACCAATTATCTTAATACTTTATTAAAAATTCATCTTATATTACTTTTTATTAAAAAATCTTGGTGCTTTTCCAAGCAAGATCCAAAAATACTGATTAAGTTTTACTTAATAAAAAGTATTGGTGTTCTCTCTCAAAAAACAAGTATTGGTGCGTCTCCTCTGTACAAATAACAAATAAGAATGTCAAGATAAAATGTAAGTTAAAAAAAAAAAAACAATATGAAATAATTATATACAAAGAAATATTGACATGATATAACCCTAAACTCTAAACACAAACTAAAAGCAGAAGTTAAAAATAATGGGCTACATGATATATAACCTCGAAAAAATGGATAAATAACAATGATAATGAAAAAATCATTTAAAAAGCTCATAATAATTACATTCCTTTTGGATATCCATGTGAACTTGAGTGTTTTGATATAGTTAATTTTTTAAATCAATAAAAATGAAGTAGCATGTGAATTTTTTTGTTTTTACTTTTATTTTTTTCTCTCTCCTAAAAGATGTATTTTTGACAAATAAATAATTTAAATCAACTTACAGAATAATGACCCAAGTGCTTCATATCTTTTCTTAGAAATTAAAATAAGAGTGCAAAACACAATAAAATTACACTTACTGTGGTAAAAAGAGATTTTGTAAATTTTTAATATAACTTACTCATGAAACCTGTTAAATTTAATGAAACTTTCAAAACATTGATAACTTCTATGCAAATGAGAAAATTTTCAATTCATTATAATTTATAAAATCATTAAAAAAATATCCTTACCGACTCAGATTTCATATATACATTAAAATTTTTAATATATATATATATATTCAAACAGAAAAGATAAACTTTTTGAAAAACGAACTTTCATGAATTATATATATATAAAAAAAACTAACTGTTCCAAAACCCTTAAAATTTAGAACGGCACGGTAGAATTTCTATTTAAAAAAAAAACAATTTTATCCTGAAATCCACGCTTACTGTTGTCACACTTCTGTAATTTCCAATGCATTTTCAAATGTGATTTTTATTAAAGGCTTCCTATTTATTGTTTCCTTAACTAGTAGTTTTAACAGGTCACCAACAAAATAATTAAAGGAAAAATCCCAACATATAAGAAATAACATGGTTTGGATAGCAGGATGTGAAAAAATACTTGCCAATGCCACCTATGAAACGAAATTACAAAACTTGATGCCAAAATGGTGTCCGAGATGAATACTTATTCTAGTTTTGGATATCTCCACAAAGTTTCTCAATCACATTAAATTCTAAAAATGGAATTATACTACTACTCTGCTCCAGCCGCATCCAATTCTATATATGACTAATACAATGTTCGTATGTAATTCCCGCTTCAGTCGCATGATTAATTAAACTTAAAAAAATGATCAGCTCCATTGGTGTTTAGCTGCCAAAAAGGACTACAACACAGCCAACAAATTATTCAATGCTCAATCAAAGCTTGAATTCAACAGAAAATGTCCATTACCATGTGGAACTACAACCCATGGTTTTTCTGCAATTTCTGAATCTGGTTCAGGAAGATCCATGTCATCTGCATAACCAAGTAATACAATCATATCATATATCTTAATAAATGTAACACTAATTCAAAAAACATGACAAAGTAATAAAAGCAAAGGAATCATTGTACACAGGATATGCGACAAGAGAGAGAATAATACCATGACATGAGGAGCAATCCTGACACAATAGACAGGGAATCCAGTGTAGAATTTGAATGGTCCTCCTGCTTTGAAGGTTTTGACAGCACAATCAACAGAGCCAGTGTATGGATATTTTCCCTCAGCATCAGGTTGCATCTTCTGAATCTGGGTCTTGACATAGTCAAATGGCAAACTGCAAGCTGCTGCGAAAAATCCAGATACGGAACTTGCACCTATAGAATAACAAGAAATTTTAGTAGGTAACAGTGAGAATAAAATCTCCGGCAGTATTTTAACCTATGTAGCTTATAGCACAATCCATATGGAATATCAGACTTCCATTTCAAAGAAAATGAGGGATCAATAACCATGAATTCCCCCACAAAATTTTAACTCTGGCTAGGAATCATGATATTATGAGTTTAACATTATGCAAGCTTCCATAATATCCTACAAAAGCAAAAACCAAGGCACCCAATTTGCACCAAAAAAATTACAACTCGAATGCAAAAAACAAAAAAATAAACAGAAGGCATCATATATGGTTAGACACTGCAAGAGCTAAATTGCATGGGAATCTATCAACAGACGCAAGCGCCAGCAAATAGTGAATATGTGCCCCTCCCCCCTACCTAGATAAACATAAGAATTCATGAATGCAAAGTATCATGGGTATTGACTGGATGATGAACCAGACTCAATGTTCCAAATAATGGACACCATAGTTCAATTCAATTGAGGAATCCTAATTACTTTCAAGGTGTAACATGAATAACTAACTTAATGCATGAAAACAGGATCAATTAGTGTTGGCACTCCTTCCCCTTTACCTACCACTCGTTCCCTTTTCTTAATAGATAATAAACTCAAGACAATCAATAGCATTTGAAATTAAACAATGCCAAGCTAAAAGTCAAAACATTAAGATAAAAATTCCTTTCCCCAACTTATCCAGTGATGAACAAAATCATACTTGGGATCCAACTCAAAGAAACAATCATATGCTTTCACAAGCAACGAAAATGTTAAAAGAGGGTCAAATCTAAACTTCCCAGATGTTCTTTGAAGGCTGACACATGATCTAATCCAATCATAGCCTACAATGTTGATCCAATTCCCTTTTGATGCACAATTCACTAAACTGAAGCTTTGACCTAAGCAAGACTAAATTCAGTAATCTAAGGCCACCAAATCACACAATGTTAATCCAGTTCCCTTTAAATGTGTGCATAATTCACTAAATGGAAGTTTGGAGTAAAATAAGGTAGGCTAGAATAGATGAAGATCCTCTTCAACCTTTTCATTGAATCAATGATTTACAGTGACATTCCCTAAAACTCTAAAATGTAGCAATAACACTCCTTGTGATCATTTAATTAGTTAAAATCAAAAACTTAAGCAGAAAAGAAGCTTGTTAAGGGTAAAAACAAAGGTTATTCTTAAAATGGAAAAATCCAGCTTAAATTTTACTAAAAGACTGACTGGTGAATTTTTTATTTTTTTTTTGGTGAAAAAGACAGACAAATGCCCAGACTGACATGTGCATTTTCATTAGCCTGCGAAATTATCATTGAACATCTCAGTGAATCACGTTAATAAAACATGGACTGATTATATATATATACACACACACACACACACATATATTAATATATATCAAATTTTCCCAGATATATAGCTCTATGTCTGGAACTTTGAATTGTAGGGATGTTTTAATCTAGACAGTAGACATAACACTTTTCCAGGATGAGATGTTAAACAAACATCTATGATTCATATTAGATCATTTTCATTGTTTGGGTAAGCTACAGTCATCCACTTGAAGAGTTTGCCCAAACATCTTTGCTGTAGTAACCCTAAAATCCTACCATTAACAATGATTAGTTTAAAAAACAACTACTTAGCTGCTAACATAAAAAATAAATAAATAAATGCAGTTGTTCTCTTGTATTTTTTCTGAGCACAAAGTTTTAAAAAATGCCCTGGTTTTGTCTTCCAAAGCATGCTAGAAATAACTGTATTATTGAGGAATCAGTTGTAAAAAAAGACAAGACATCAGACAATAAATTACAGGCCTAAACAATAGAAACTACTCACCAAGCAATTTATCATCCGAAATCTATTTGTGTTGTGAAAGCTGTTTCTAAAACAAGTGTTTCAAAAACCGAAAACAAGAAATAGCTAGGAGATGTTTTTTCATTCTCTTCTATTTTCAAGTGTTTTATTCAGCTATTCAAGTGTTCAAGGGACAAACATTTAAAAAACACAAATGTGCTTAAGAGACAAAGGCTTTCAAATGTGAACAGGACACACAAATTTTAGAAAACAGAAAACTGTTTTTGTATACAGTAAACAAGCAATGCCAACTTTTGTATCTGTTGGCAAATTTTGGCTTTCGGTAAATAAAATAATGACTGTAGATATAAAAGACAGACCAACTATTGTAAGGTTTTTGACTAAATCATTTTGTTAAGTGTTGTTAAATTAAATTTATAAGGGCATAAAAGGGAGTAAAGCATGGACTTTTGAAACATCAACAGAAAATTTTAAACAAGCTGCACTATAAATAATTTGGACAAAATCGTTAGGAATGTGTATTGACGTACATCTGAGCTTAGTTGTCTCGCACATACTATCACAATGCATGAAGCTAACGTCAAAAAGTTCAAATTTGACAATAGTAAAATGGTTACTTACCTAGCACAGTAGCTGCTTCACCAAGACCAACATTATCCCTGAAGAACTCAACACTTTGATCATAAGATGCAAGCATCCCCATGTTCAATGCCATGGCTCTAACGACAGTAGGCCCAGCACCTTTCCAAAGTGCCAAAACACCTTCATCTGACACAATTCGATAGAGTGCATGGAAGGCATTCGTGTAATTTCGGCGCTGAGCAGCAGGTAAAGTTGCATCAGCTTGCATTCGAATGAGCGCCAAATCTGCTGGACTACCAACAGTTGCTCCGATGGCACCAGCAGTCAGCCCGCACAGAGCTTTCTGATACAGTGGCAGGGGCTTCCCATCATTAGCCTCAATTGCTTTGCTTGTCAAGATTCTAAAAAACAATAAACCATCAAGTTAACACACGAAGTAATTCCTTTGAAACCATGAAAGATGACGTGCCTTTTAGTGATTTAATTTAAAGCTAAACGAATAGCACAAAGCCTTAGAAACAAAAGCTATACAATTTCTCCATTTTGAATAATTAAAAGTGATGAACGTAGTCATAAGAACTCACTTAAATGATCCAAGTCGAGCAGTGGTGTAGGTAGCCTGCCTGAGTAATCCAGCGGATAGACCCTGCATAAAGTGATTCATTATAGATACCATTAGATGTACATCTCAGTAAATGATAATAAAACCAAAGCCCAGGCTCAAAACTGGAATAAAACAGTCACTCATCAATAAAAAAAAATAAAAAAAAACCCTTCATTTCTCGTAAGCCAAGGCAACAATAAATCTTCTTCGACTTGCAGATCTATAGCCAGGTAAATTAAAACAAGTGAAACAAACACAACACACACCATTTGGCCACACTAAAACCAACAACATATGCATCCCACATTGGATTCATCCAAGGATCCATAATTAGAGAAAACAAAATAAAAGAAAAACAATAACCTTATAGAAGGCAGCAACACCCTCATTCTTGAGCATGTTGGAGGTGACCTGCCCAGCCGATCCTTGGCCAAGTTGAATCCTCACCTACACCACCAAACACATCAAATCAATCAAACCCCACTAAACAAAAACAAAGATCGTACATAAAAAGCCACAGATCTGAATCCAACAAGGAAAATCAGAGAGACCCGGAATCCCATTTGAGGGAATCAGGATAAAAAAGGGCAGAAAGGTGAGAACTTTACGTCACCTTGATCATGTCGATGGGTTGAATGACGCAGGTAGCGAGCATGCCGGAGGCCCCACCATTGACGAAAGGCTTGACGGTGGACCACACGCCGGAAGTGGCAGGCTTGGGCTTCTTCTCGTCTCCCATTGGTGTTTGTGAGAGAAAAAAAAGGGTTAAGCGAGAGAACGAGAAAGAAGTGAAAGAGTGGTAGTGGCGTGAGAGGCGAGTCCAAGAGAGAGAGCACACTATTTAGAAGCGCATTTATATACAAAAAAATGTAAACCTCGTGGCGTTGCGTTGTTCGTTGCGCACACTCTCTCGCTCCCACAACAAACGAGAGACCAACATTTTGATAATATTGATGTGGTATTTATTTTTAGTTGGAGTGTTAATAGCTTATTAACCTCACCTTTCGCATAATTTACAAAACTAGTTTTCTCATAACCAAATCCCTTTGCTTAAACTACTTTCCAATTATCATGGTTCATCGTCACCCTTGCCAGTTGCCACAGAAAATAATTACAATATTATTATTTTAAATTCATTTTTTTTATTTTTCTTTTCATAAAGTGTTATACAATTTATTACATCAATGTTACTTTTTATTCATTATTCTCATTTTTTATATACAAAAAAATCTAACTCGGTATATAAAATTTACTATAACTCAGTCAACTGAATTTGCGTCTCATTAGTTATTCTCGGCCGATAAACAATTATTTTAAAAAATCAAACAAGTGAAATATTTTAGTTTTAAATTAAAAAAATACCCAAAAAAAATGTTTTCAAAAACGATAACTCTTCAAAGTAATTATAAATTGCTTTTTATAAAAGTGGAAGACTATTTAAAAAAATAGATTAAACAAATATATTAAAAAATAGAAAAATATTTATTTTAAAAAAATAGATAAACAAATTCATTGACATTTCAAGAATTCAATATAAAAATATATATTTATCAAGAGATGACAACTTTTTAAATAGATATTAGTATCTCAAACTCGAAAAATTAACTAATTTTTCATTAAGTTTTGACTAAAAAATAAATTAATTTATCACATACTCACTGTCATTTTAATTAAATTGAATTACATTGTCTAATAAAAAATGTAATAATCTTAAATAAATGAATTAAACACTGAGTCAATTTGTAACTGTATATTTGAGGTCACTGTATGTGTCTTGCGGGCTTATTTTTGGTATCAAATATTTAATTTTTATTATTTTAAAAAACTATTAATTGTAGAAGTTATTGTTGATATCATGTAATAATATTTTGCCCCCTCAATATATTTTTCTAGTTTCGTCCGTGCACACATGAAAATCATTTTATAATTTTTATTGCCACGTAATTATTGAGAGATAAAATGTGACACATTTATATATTTATTCGTTTAAAATTTCTCCCCTTTACCATATAAGTGTATAAATCTATTATTGTTAATTAATTATTACAATTTGAGTATCTGAAAACCATGTTTTCAAATTTTCAAAAGACAAATTCTTATCGTTTATAAGGATTTTATTTATTTATTTATTTATAAGAATTACAATTGACAATAACAAGTTAAATTATAGATAATGTATATACTAGATTTGTTTGTTCAAATTTTTAAAAAAAATTAACAAGTGTTTAAAAAAATAATTTTTTTTTTTTTTTGTGTTGTAAAAAAATAATAATAATAATTCTTTAAGAAATAGATAAGAGTTGTTTAGAAAAGAAAAATAAAAAAGGTAAAAATTTATTTATTTAAAAAAATTAAGCAAACACAAAAAAAAAAAGTGTTTTTTATTTTAAAAAATATTTTCATAAAAAAATTAAACAAACAGATTCATTATATTAAATTCATCCCTATAAATTTATTTAAATTAATTAAATGTCATTCAATCACATCTAAATTATCCGATTAACTAAACGGAAGGAATTACTGTAATTTTATTTAAATTAAATAATTATCATTCAATTACATCTAAATCATCCTATTGACCACTAAGGTTAGCTTAATGGTTGGGTAGGGAGGAGTTGGGGTAGTTAGAAATATGAGGATCTAGATTCAATTCTCATTGCGACCATCTTTGTAATTTTTCCTATCTTTACCAAAAAAAATTTATCATATTAAATAAATGGAAGGAAGTACAATAACTAATGGTAAATTTTCATTATTCCAAGTGACGATATTATATTTCATATTAATTCACTGGTAACACTTTTAGGTACATTTAAAAAATTATATACCACTAAAATTAATTAATTATACATTAATGATCAATATAGTTAAAAATATAAAAAAATTTAAGATGTGTGATTTTTTTTAATCAATATTCATTGATGACTAATAATTGTCGAAGAATTTAATTAACCACTTTTAGTAAGGTCTTCTTTCTCGGGTCATTTTTTTTATACATGAGACTTGAAGTTAAGATCTTACTTAAGAAAATTAAGTTCAATATCAAATGGACCAACTTATTAGTTATATGTGTTTGATTTGATAAACCTAAATGTGATTTTATTATAAAAAAAATCTCAATTTCATCTCTAAAATAAGAGTGTTTCTCTTAAATAGTTATTAAAGTTAAAAATCATACAAATAATCCTTCTAATATTAAAAATTATGTTAAGTAATTATTTAAGAAATAAAAAATTCAAAATTATGTTAAATAATTATTTAAGTATTAAAAAATTCTTCAAACTAATCAGGAAAAGTAAAATATATCATTTTAGGACGTAAATTAATAGAAAGTATTACTTTATATATTAGATAAGTAATTTTATTATTTTAAAAGACTATTTAAAAACGAAAGTAACATTTAAGAGACTAAATTAACAATTTATTCTTTTATATAGAACAATTTATGTGAATAAAATTTCAATAATTTACCTAGATCAAAATATAAATTAAGGTCCAAAGAGCATTTACAAACTTACTTATACATTATTTATCAAAAAGTCGATTATATTAACGAAAAAAATCAAATTCATATACTTGTAGAACATGAATTGATTCTTTACCAAACCAACAATTATCATTTATATAAACACAAAATGTAAATGATATGAATAGGATGTATGACAAGTTTGGTTGGTTTTTACAATATTAGTTAAAAAGTTATATTTTGGAGTATTTGTTTGTAATGAATAAAATTAGAAAGACAATAACATCATGTATTCACTCTTGTGATAGTGGGTCTCATGCTAGCATTTAGATTAGGTAATATGAAAACTACAATTGTATACAAGTGGTGCATATGATGTGTGGTTGTCTCTCTTGAAACGTGTATAAAAAGGAAAAGGAAGAAGGTTATGGGCTTTGGATAAAGTGTGAAGAGGGGGTGGTTGCTTATGCTTTGGGATCTTTGAATGAATGGACCATGGCATGGGGAATTAATTGGGAATGTGAATTCCTTATCTTTTGCTTTTCCATTGTTGCAATAAAACCACATATGCATTCCTTGCCTTTTCACTACAGTCTGGAAAAGCATATTGGATCGGGTAAATGCATGTTTGGAACACTTTTTTACTTGTGCTACTTTGAAAAATTGAGTACACCACACTCAAGTTGCTTGTATTATTAGTACGTGTATTTTACAAAAATCATGTCAAACAGTGTACAAGATGTAAAAGTAACCTTTTGTTACTTCTAACATTTGTGAAGAGAGATATTAACTTGCATAGCTCATTGAATTCCCAACACAACTTAGCTTTTAATTTGATGTGGATCACACTCGATAGTAAAAACAAATGTGTGCATAGTCTAGTTTTTGTATAGATTTTTGTTGGTTTGGTCTCTCTCATCACGCTTGACTAAGTTTAACTTTTTTATATATAAATTTATATGTATTTTATGAGGAAAAGTAAAAAAAAGTTAAATATTAGCTCAAATAAGTCTAATAATTACATATGATATATTAATTATTATATGATATTTTAACTTCACTATTTACATATGGTATTTTGCGGTGTTTTAAAATTGGATAAAATAATTCGACTAATTTGACTAGGAGCCGATCGAGTGATTGGTTAGTTACTAACAAAAACCAGAGCATTTTAAAAATTCATGAGAATTAGTCAATTTGATCCAAAATCGGTGTAAAGAACCGGTTTGAATCGATACTACTCAAAGATTATAATTTTAAAACTTAAAATTGAATTTAAATTATTTTTAAGAAAAAAACTAAAATTTAATAAGGATTGTATATTTAAATAAATTATTTTAAAAACGTTTCTTATAAAAATATAACTTAATCATTTATATTAATTTATATATCTTATATCTTGAGTTTTATAATTTTATATTATATTAATTTAACATCTTTATTCTAAATATAAACTTATTATAGTTAATGTATATTATTATATTTTTATTAAAATTTAAACTTAAATAATGTGTTATATTTTTAGTTTAAATTTTTACATGTGTTTTAAATGTTAATAATCTAAATGATTTTCTTTTATAATTTTATTGTTATAAAAATATGATATTATATAATTATTTTATAAATACCAATTTGATCATAATTCAACTATTAAATCTTAAATTAGTGTCTTTATCAATTCAATGGTCAACCTAATTTTGAAAATACTAGTATTTTGCATTGTATTAATGCTTAATAAATCATTTGCATAATAAATTTGTTAATATAGAACATTCATGTATACTATCAAATTTTTGTTTAAGGATAATTTTTTTGGGTACCCAACTAAATAAAACACCAATTAATATTCTTAATTTGTATTTATTTATCCCTTTTTATCATACGAATCATCAATCATATCAATCATTTATTTCTCCCTATCTCTCTCAAGGTATAGATGTCTCTTGGGTGTCCAAAAATCTTTTTTCTTTTGTCAAAGGTATTATTAATAAAATACATTGTAAAATGAAATATTGATAGAAAGTTGGTTTTTATAATTTTGGATCCACAATCAATATATATGTGAATGTTTGAATGCTTGCTTGAAAATATTAAAGATGACACGTTAACCTTCTCTCTTCATATCTATTAGAAGTAATAAAAAGTTACTTTTATAGCATTTGTACTAGTTGATGTAGTTTTTTTTTTAAAATAGGCACATAATCAACAAAATTCCAAACATGCATAAACTATCTAACTCATTTCTTTTAAATAAATATTTATTTCACATACTTGACATATTCAATTATTTTATATGAAAAGTTATGAATAAATTTTTAAATTCATTCACTTTAAATAAATTAAGCACCACTACTAAAATTTCTCTTATTACATGCGAAATTTGTCTGCAAAATTTCATCTGTAGGTAATACTTTCGTGGATAATATGTTTTTGCAAATTTTAAAATTTGCAAGAAATTTTCTTATGAAATTTTAGGAAAATTTTTTCGCAAGTTCTACTGGAATATTTTTTACGAAAAAAATTAAATAAATTACTACAAATTCTATTAATAATTCTTCAACTTTCAAATGCTCACAATGAATTCATCCGAAGCTAACACTCAACCATACAAATCAACTTGTAAGGTAAGTGTTGTCCTAACTTATATACTCTTTAATTATTTTATTTTCAATCGATGTGGGACTTTAAGTTTTTTAAAAATATTAAACTTATAAATTTAAATATTTTTTTGATTTTTCTTGTGGATTAAAATTGGTAGGAAAATTTGAAGGAAAAGTTACCTGTAAAATTTTTTCTACCATTTAGTAAACATTATTTGTGAATTTATTTTTGTAAGAAAATTTGCAAGAAACAAAATAAAATTCTTACAATATTTTCTGTAAATTTTTACCATGGAAAAAAATTTCTATGATCATTAAAATTGTAGCAAAATTTGTAAAAATTTCTTCTAGATTATTTTTCATAAAAAATTGTAAGAAATATCTGTAAATTATTTTTCGCAAATAAATTCGTAAAAAAATTTGTAAAATTATTATTACAAGAAAATTCACAAAAAAATTCTGCGAATATTTTTTTTAGGAAAATTCGCAGGAAAATGACGCTTTTCTAGTAATGCGTTCTTTAAGATGGATAAAAAAAATTAAGAGATATAAATATTAAAATTGTTTACTTACATAAATATAGTATAAATATTTTTTAAAATTCAAATATAAAGATGATACTACAATATTCAATCCAAATGTCATTCATAATTTTTTCTTATAACTATGTTATTAATGAGAAGTATATATTGATTTTTTCTTATAACTATGTTATTAATAAGAAGTATATATTAAATTTATTGATATCTAATTTCAATCAAAAAATTTGTTTGATCACCATTGGTTTTTTTTAACTATTTTTTTATTTATAAAACTCAAACCTAACATTTTATTTAAGAAAATTGAGTTAAGATGGATCGAGAGTTGTTAATTATTAATTATGATCATGATTATTAGAAATTACCGATTAAACATGGGTAAGGTAATTTCGAATTTGCATTTCCCATTTATTTTGTAACAATCAAGTAAACGTCAATAGGGTATATACATATAGATACAAGAGTAAAATAGGGAAATGATGAAGGGCATTTTAGAGTATGGAGAGTTGAGATTTGTTGTATCTATTTTATAATCTAATACACGAGGACGTGTGATGGTGGCAGCTTGTGGAAATGGTTGGTTGCTGCTACTGCATGCTAGTGCTGTGGATATAAAACTTGTGGAACCTCAGTCATAGTGACAAACCCTTCCTTTGGATTCGTCGTTCAATTCCGGTTATCACATCAAACTTCTGTCTCTTTCGATGCTTTTGTACCCCTTTGTGTTTAAACGTGAAAACCTTGGTTTCGTTTGATCTTCAATTAAGGACAAACAAAAATTATACATGTTATAATTTTTTATTTTATGTAAGGTTTAAAGACAATGAAAGCTATCTTACATTAATCTAAAGCCAAATGAGTCTCGAGATAAACATTTTAGATTCAATCTTCACGACACACAACACCAAATTTGGATCTAGACAGCAACTTGTAAACCAAACCCATCTTTGGTGGCGAGCGTGTCAGTATAACAACACTTTTTTTTTTTTTTTAATGTTTGAATTTACAGTTTTTTAAAACCTATTAAATTGGCGTAAAAGAAAGAGAACAAATTATGTTTCCTTTAAAGGCTTCTTAGAACATAATCCAAAACAAATAAGCCACTCCTTGTTTGTTTGTTTATTTTAGTTCGATAGAAGTCATCACCATGTTGAGTAATATGTATTGCTTGAAAGCCAAGAGGACCAAACCATCAAGGAATACGAATGATTATGACCCATGAGTGGGGCTAGAGTCCAAGATTCCTCCTCCATAGCCACTCGCAACATACAATTCTTTAATTTTTAAAATAAAATAAAAAATTCTTTGATTCTAATTTCTATAAACATTGAGTGCAATTTTTTTTTACTATGTTAACAGATTAAGAATCACGTTTAATATAATTTTTAAGATTATTATTATAAAAATTAATAATTTCACTGTACATGACAACTGTTGATTGAATTATGGTGTAATTTTTTTGTAAGTGTTAGTGCATGAATTATTTATTCATTTTTCCTAAAGGTATTCATATATAAACTGCATATTTGATATGAGTTGCAATTTGTATGTAGAGCATGAAATGAAAAACTCATAACTCCACTAAGGTGGAGCTTTAGTTGTGAGAGTTTTAATAATTTACGCAATTTTTTTTATTTAAACTTTTTTATTCCTATTGTGTAAATAACAATAAAAGCTGATGAAAGACACTGCAAAAAAGTGGCCTCCCTAGACATACAAACATTTCACGGCAATCGTACAACTTTAAATTAATTAATCTTTGGTATTTTAGAAAACTCAGCATCCACAATTATTCATTGAAATCTCAACGATAGTACCTGAGACAAAAAGTTGTCCTATAATTTATTGAGTTACAAAATATTGGACTTTTGTATTATCCTTATTCATCTTTTTTATCATGTTTCATGACTCTATTATAAATTAAACACAAAATAATTATATTTGTCATATATAATACAATGAATTTTATTGAATTAAACAAAATCTTTAATATTATTAATTGATATAAACTTTTCATTTACTCACATTCAACATTTGAATCCCAATGACATGTGAGAGAGGAATTGACATTCAATGTGCCTTAAAGAGTAATATTGACATATAACAAACCCTCATAAATTGTAAGGTTAATCGATTCAAACTTCTTCGGGTTGTTTAATGTCAAGAACAAACTCTAACTCAACACTTCAAACTTCAAACCTGTGTGTATAATGGGCTGTATTCAATTTATCGAAGTTACTTTTTGTGTTGTCTTGTATTGACTACCGTTGTGCTGCATTTTGCCAAGCGTTAAAACTTGACTTACATAAGTTAAAACGTAAACACTAGAAAAGGAAAAATACATAAGGCACATTGAACTCCGTAGCCAATAATGCGTAGAAGATAAAACAATGAATATGTATGCTTATGTTCTACTCTTTTTTTTTTTGTTTTTCTGAAGAGTTATTTTACTACTTAAAACTTATAAATTTGCCCGATTGTTTTATACTTTACATATAAAAAAATGCTGTCAGTTTTGTTTGTTTCATTACAAAGACACGCAATCTTCAGGTTGACAATGGCCATATGACATTTGTGAAAATTTATCAATAGCGAAAATACAAGAAATTATCATCTATCCACGCAGGCTTCTTTGCATTGTAATAGAAAAATGCAATCATCTGAACCAACTCATCCGCAGTTCTGAGTTCTGCAAAGGTATAAGTAACAGTGCATCATTATAAAAGAAGAACCTAGACAGAGAATGTGCATCTCTTGGTACCAACAAAAAAAAAAAAAAACAATGGTATATATAAAAATAAAATAAAAAAGTGAAGATAAAGATCAATGTTCTCACCTTTCTCCCTGTACACGATCCTGTTACCCCGTAAAAATAAAATTTCAGGACATTCTCTAACTTTCAGGGCGTAAGCCAAATCTCTCTCGATATTGATATCTAGCTTAACCGCCTATAAAGTAAATCCAATATGTCATATGGTATTGTAAAATAGTGAGGTTATCACTTGTAAGTTGTAACATCTGCAAAGTGATAAATGGCAGGGAAGATTTGCATTTATAGAAAGCAAAATCATTCTTTTCCTTTCAGGTATGTATAAATAGATGAAAGTGCAGTTTTTAGCACATGAAGTAGAAAACAGATCATACCCGGGGAGGCAACCGATCTTTAGCTCCCCAATATACCTTTACTGCTTTCTCCAGCTCTTTCAAGTTTTTCCAGTTATCAGTTGCCCTGTGGAATAACTAAATCAAACACCTAACTTAAGGGTACATTTAGCTATAAATAACTAACATTATTTGAAGTCGCTATGTTACATATCACTCCTTATATATGGGGACATGGCATTTTCATATATTAATTTCACAAAAGAAAACAAATATTTAATGAAAATAATTGTTACAGAAATGCTTTTCTAATAATTTTGTCTGTGCATTCCCACACTCATGTGCATTATCACGTGCTTCTGAATGTGACAAATATTTTCTGTGAAGAAATGACTATATAATAAGGGAAGTAAAGGTGGTGAGATCTATTAGGCTCATCAGTACTTATAAGTTACAAAAAGGAAGCTTTTGAAAAAAGATGTGCATAAATTAATTTCAACTTGTACAAGAACACTAGAAATTACCTGTTATAGCGTTCAAAGACAAGGACAATTAATGGGCTGGGGTGGTAAGCAAAACTCTCCCACTCCAAACAGTTGATCTCCTGCACCCAGTTGTCATCAATCTCCCCTTCCCAGTCAATTTCATACCCATCTTCTCCCACCACATTCTTTATTGGATGCTTCTCAAAATACTCAGAAGCTCTTATTCCCCACCCAACATCTGCATCCAATGGCCAGCTTTTACTTTCTTCCTCAATCATCATCTTATTTCCAATCTCCTCACCATCATCTTCCTCCTTCTTGCCATTGTCATTGTCATCGTCATCATCACCATCACCGCTTTCAGATTTAGAACTGTCACCATCTCTATCCTTCATTATATTTCCATGATTCTCCAAAGCATCCTTGTTCTGCTGCCGAATTGTGGCAAACGTGCGCTCGAGCGAATCACGTACAAAATCTTCCACTGCCATGGCTTCACTTCTACGACCACGCCTCGGCTTCCTTGGAATCGTTGTGGGGAATGTATCTGCTGAACTTTTATCTTCACTGCTGGATTCCACATCTTTAGGTTGGTCACTTCTTCTTCTTTCTCTTTGGTTCGAACTAGCTTCAGGTTCAGGTTCAGGCTCGGACTTTGAACGAGACTTTCTAGAAACTGAACATGATATAGACTTTACAATGCGGTGGCTAGATACAGGGGAATAATGAGAAAAACTGTGGGTACATTCCAACATGGGATTCTGAACACTAAGTGGTGACAATGGATGCAAACTAGCATCACAAAAAGGTGAGAAGCGTTTGGGCAAGACAGCAGTTTGGAGAAACAGCATTTTCGTGACTTGACAACGTTGTCAACGGAAATACATCTATCTTGAATGAAGAGTCTCTCTCTCTGTTCGGCAGAGTGTTACACAGGAAAAAAGTGTCAGAATCATTGTGGAGAAAATAAACAGAGAAGATAGAAAACCATTAAATTTAAAGAAATCGAAAACAATGGTTGGGTTCTTTTACCAAACAGCTGGTGTTCAAGAGTGAAAACACACGGGATAACTTGCTTACTTTGTTTAGGGGTTTCGAACGTCGAAAATGATTCAACTAAAGCTTCCAAATAGTTAGCGATATCCACTGAATTGAGAAGGTAGTATATGCGTGTAGTTGTTTTTTTTTTTTTTTTTTTTTTTTTTTTTTTTTTTTTTTTTTCCCTCCTCGTCACTCTGTCACTTCAATTGCAGAAAATGTGCTTCTGAGCTTCATTTGGAGCGAGTTTCATTTTTTTTTTCTGTGGGCACCGAACGAGGGAAAGGCCCAAACGGGCCCAAAAGCAATATAGTTGTGTCTCTACGATAGGAGAAGTCCGAAAAGATATAATCACAAGCAGGGCTATGTTTTGGCCACTTACTATTTATCCTTTCTCTAACTTTTTTTTACTAAAAATATTCATAACACGAACTTGTTTCCTTTTACAAAATCAAAATTTTATTTTCATTTTGTTTAAATTTTCATAAAAAAAAATAATAAAGCAGAAAATTGTTTTTATTTTGATATTTTTTTCATAATATAAAGTAAAATTACCGTAAAGGATAAAAAGACAAGTGCTCCCCTACTTTCCTTTTTATTTGTTAATTTTTTTTTAGTACAATTTTCTTTCTAATTATTTGTTATTTTCAAATTTCAAGATAATGTTAGTTATTGTGTTACTAATTATTCACCTATATCTCATAAATTTTAATTAACTTATATAATAATTAATATATATTTATTATAAGTAAAAACGAAAGAGAGTATAATAAAAAATATTAAAGTCATTATATAGAAAACAAAAAAAAATATTTTTTAATTTGTATAATTTATTAAAAAAAAACTCTATGTAATTTTGTTCAGAAACTAAATTTTAATTCATTATACATGTATGTAAAAAGTCGAGAGATAAATTCTAAGGACATGAATCTTAATGAACCTCATTATCATAATGACATGCAAGTAAAGAAGCGTGACATTTATAAATGTAATCTTAAATCTCTACTATAATATATATATA